TTGATATGATTTAGAAAAATATTGTAGCTATTGTAAAATTGATGGAGTTCAGGATACATTATCCCAACATCCAGCATCTTGACAAAGCAAGGTCTTTCTGATTTTCCCCCAGGCCTTCTCCCCTAAAGTAGATCACATAACCCTGGAAGGATTTTCTGATTTTTCCCTGAGGCAGTTTATAACACCCTCATTGAGAGATGCTCTTCCTATGCCTGGAGAAAAGAAACCAAAGACAGAGATGCCTAGAGGAAATCTGAACACAAGGGCTTTCTAAGTTCCCCTCGTCCCAACTTGTTACCACTGGATGATACCCTCTTGTCCTCCAATCATTTCTCCACAACTGTGCATGCTTCATCAAACCTAGCAGAAAAAATACACAGGATACCTGTTTCCTCACTCACATCTTGATTCTTCCCGGCCTCTCAGTACTGGGGATTGAACTCAAGGCCTGCCTGGTGCACAAGCAATCTACCACTTGAGCCATGCCCCTAGTCCTGACTCTTGATTTCTTTAGGAAGACTCTCCTGTGCCATAAAAAATTTATTAAAGCATTGCGGCTCACACCTATAATCCCAGCTACTCAGGAGGCATACATAGGGGATCAGTAGACTGAGGTGGACCCTGGGCAAAAATTACAAGATTGTACCTAAGGTATAACTAACAAGGAGCTGAAGGCATGGCTCAAGTGGTAGAGTGTGAGGTCCTGAGTTTAAATCCTAGCAGGAGGGAAAAAGTGTGCTTTTCTCTTGCTAATCTGTCTTTTGTTACAGAGCTTCAGCTATGAGCCTAGCCATACAAAGGATGCAGAAAAAACATTCCCTATAAAATTTTATGGCCAAGTGCATGACTAGGTAGTTCCCTGCCCACTTAAAATCTCATGTAGTTCCTTGGAAATACCAGATCTTCTATAGCCATATCACCTTGAGCAGGCCTGATATCATCTGATCTCAGAAGCTAAGCAAAGTGAGGCTTAGATGGGAAATGACAAGATCTATGCTATTAAATAAACCTGACTGACCTGCTATTACTGAACAGCAAATACACTGATCAATGAACTAAGAATTTACATTCTCAAATATTATGTTCTCGTGTGAAAATGAAAACATGAAACCTGTTTAAACTATTCTAAAAAGGGGGAGGGGAACAGAAGAGAATGACAGAGAGGGTGAATTTCACCTTATAAGATATATTGTAAGCACTCTTGTAAATGTCACAAGGTACCCCAGTACAATAATACAATAATAAAAATAAAAAAAAAAAAAGAATTTACATTTTCATCTTCTTTTAATTCCTTTTTTTTTTTTTCCTTCTTTTAATTCTCATATTAGTCTTGTCAGGGCAATATCTCTAACAAAGGCATTTTATAATTCACAAAATCAAGAATAAGAGGTTAATATGCTCAAAATCACAGTCAGCAAGGCTACGTATCCAGTTCTGCACAATCCTATTCCACACAGTCTAGTAATTTAAAAACAATCCACAAGCCACTCGTACTAAATGAAGCATTAACTTGCTTGAATAGAGGTGACTAGTACTACGAATAAAAGAGAATTAAAAAACACATTATCAGAAATTGTGTTTAATGCATTTAACTTGAAAGAAACATCAAGAAAAGTGTTAAAAATACTTTCTTCTTGGGAATTGCCAGGCTTAAGAAAGAGCTAGTGGTCTGTGGCAGTGGTGGGTTCTTTAATGGCATTTTTAAAAGAGCCAGTCTCTACATGAAATGGGTCGAGAAATACTAGTCTGTGTCTGCTGTGCTCTGTTTCTGTCTCTTCTCTCACACAGGAAAACAGCATAAGCAAACAGAAAAACAGGCGAAGGCACACAAATTTTCTGTTCTTTACAGGCCCTTTCAAACAAAGTTAAAAAAATACAGTTAAAAAGACACATGGAAAAATATTCATCCCTGCCATCCAAAGAAATACCAATGAAACAAACTCTAAATTAGCATTTTATAGCTACCATATTAGCATCAAAAATGATTTACTTAATAACTAATAATTCACTCACTGCTTAATTATAAACTGAAACCAATCTTTCCTGTGGCATTACAGAGTTATGGGTCCAAGCCACTGATTGTAAGACTCAGTGATGAATAAATAATTCAGACATGTGTGGATTTAGCTTAATAAATGCTTTCTACTTTCTCGCATCTTGCTAACAAAGCAAAAGGTTGAAGTATCTGATTAGCAAATTAATTCACCCATGGGAATAATTCAACAACTGCATTAAACTGTCATAAAACTGTCTGTCCACCTCAATCAGAGGAGATTTTGAATCAGGGTGACTTTTTGCCACCTCTGAGTCTCAAGCAGCAACAACTACCTCAGATAAGGATGACAAGTGTGTTTGGGGCTATGCCAAGTGTAACTGCTAATTTTCTGGGTGAAGCTATTAATTAAAATTAATGAAAATTAAAAGAGTTGAATAGCTTTGGAATGGAAATCACTTTAAATATTCAATTTAATTCAAATTAATACCTAAACTGAATGAACATGATTGAATGTATGTTAACAACATATCTTGCTGATTAATATTCTTAGTATCTTATCAAAGATACTTAAGGAAGCAAATATCCAGTTAATTATGATAAAAATTTATAATAAATTAAATAACAATAAAATTTTTCTGCCTCAAAAAGTGAAAATCCAGCAAACCTTAAAAAGTATGTTGCTTTACTTCTTAGTGTTCTCTTTCCTTTTAACACAGGGTTTCAAAATTATGAAATATCAACAAGCATATCTGTATTTTGAGCTATCTTAGAATAAGTTAAGTCCATTCCCAAAACTTAGCACAATGTCTGGGATATGTAGAATGTGTTCAAATAAGCGAATGAACTTATCTGAAATGTTACTAATCCAAGCATCTCCCAGTACTTGATCTCCTTAGTAACAACCCCAACCCTTGTTAACACTGCTCCAAGGAGGAAAACTCAGAATTGTCAGGACGAGCCAGTGCATGCTTGGTCAGCTGTATTTCTTAGAGTCAGTGGAAATTTATCTCAATTTAATAATCAAATAGTGACTCAGTGTTCTATCTACCGAAGGTCCATAATAGAAGTGTGTTCTGATTTCACCTGAAATTCTTTCAATATTCACATCCAGATTGGAAGATGTGCTCAAACCATATGATCCACCAGTTCCACTTGGGTATTAACCCAAGAGAACTGAAATCATCTGTTCACACAAAAACTGTACATGGAGGCCAAGGACAGTGGCTCTGTGGAAAAGTGTGAGGTCCTGGATCCGACCCCAGCATTTGGGGGGCTGAGGGGAAGAGCTTTCAAATGAACGCTCACAGCAGCATTGTTCACGCTATGCCCAGATGGAAATAACCAAAGTGTTCATAGGCTGACAACTGGATAGACAAAATGTGATATATCCACACAATGGCAGCTTATTCAGCAATTAGAATGAAGTACTGTTACTTCATTCTAATGAAGTAACAACATGGTAGAACCCTGAAAACATTCTGCTAAATGAAAGAAGACAATCACACAAACCACACATTATATGACTCCCTTTATATAAAATGTCTAGAATATACAAACCAATGAGGCAGAAAGACCTTGTTGCCCAGGTCTAGGGGTAGAAAGAAATAGGGAGTGACTGATAATGGGTAAGGGGTTTCTTCCTGAGATAAGGAAAATGTTTGGCAAATTGATAGTGGTGAGAGTTGTACAACTCTATGACTATACTAAAAACCACTGAATTGTACCCTTTAAAAGGGTGAATTTCATGGTACATTAATCATATCTCAAAAAAGTTTTTTTAAAAAGACAAAAGTATTCAAACAGGCTGGCTGATTACTTATATTAGCACTACAAAAAGAAATCCTTCTACTCATGATTATACAATACAGTTCAAGAATTCGATGACTATGATTTCAACAGAGTTAAATGACTGATTGAAAATGGGTCAACAAACTAAGTTCTTTATACTAAGGTTATGAGTGCATAAATCTAAACAAAATTAAAAGTAAACCTCATCAACTGCAGCAAAACCAAAAGTGTCCTCCTACACACAAATAGTCTAATATAAAAGATTAAAAATCTTTAACAAAAATTTTCTATTGTTCTTCTGTAATCCTAGCACTCAGGATGCCAAGGCAGGAGAATCAAAAGTTCAATACCAGCCTGGGCTACATAGTGAGACCCTGTCTCAAAAAAAAAAAAAAAAAAAAGTGGGGGGCCAGCAAAGTAGCTCAGGCAGTAAAGTGCCTGCCTCGCAATTGTGAGGCCCTGAGTTCAAACCCTACCACCAAAAAACAAAAATGTATTATTTCTCTACATGAAAAACAGATGGAGTTTGAGGGGATATAAGAGTAGCAATACTAAAAGAATAAGAACAATTCATTCAGCACAATTCATCCTATATTAAAATTAAATTTAAATGTTTTATCTTAAATAGATTTAGGAATTTCCTTTGCTAATTGGGACCTAATTTTCTAGAGTTTTCACAAATGCCAATTTCCTATCAGAATTATCAATGACCTACTGTAATGCTAGCAAATAATTATGTCATAGTAAAACAAACTAGCCATATGAGTATAAATATAAATTTATGCTTTTATTTATACTAATCTGTTAGTATAAATATAAATTTATTTTTATTAATGCTAATTCAAAATCATAAATGACTATATAAAGTGTAAATTTATACTATTACTAATACTTCATAGTATTACTATAAAGAAAACATACCATTGTATCTAAAATGAAATACATTAACATTTATTTCCTTGTGGGAAAATATGTATATCTATACTCATATATTTAAGATTAAAAAAACTATATAAGCCAGTGTTCAATTTATCACCTCTACTCTTAAGAGCCACTTGAAATATATTTTAAATGATTCATAGAAAAATTTTTGCAGACTTGTGATATTTTCCCTTCTGTCGTAGATTTAAAGTACCTATATCTAACTCCAAAATACAGCCATGTGTCTCTCACTAGCATTTTTAAGTACACACTCAATTCAGCAGTCTAACCATACCTTTTGCTCCACCTTCAAAAACTGAGCCAGTTCTTCCACTGTTAGATGATCTTTCTTATCACTGTAGCTCAAGAGCAACAAATATAGGTCTCGCCTCAATGACATCATTTTGTAAAACACACAGAATTCTTCAAATGTCAAAGTTCCCTGATTCTCATCTGTGTCAGCTTCCTGGAAAAGGTGTAGAAGGAACAGACAGAAGGAGAGCTTGAAATAGTATATTCACTAGAGGAAAATAAGATTTACTACAAATGGGCAAGCACAGAAATCACAAATAGTGAACATGACTTTAAGCACATATGGAACATTTTTAACAGAATTAACTATATAATTAGACCACAGAGGAAGTTTCAAGAAGTTATAAAGAATCAATCTTGTTCAAATCAATTTATCCAACCACAGTAAATTTATAAATTAAGCAGTATAATACAATTCTAAATAGGGCATTAAGCATATAAAAGTGAACAAATATACTACATATTAAAACTTGTTCAGGACTCCTGGTTTTGATCCCTAGCACTGAAAAAGTTAATAATTCAATTCAAAAAGCTAGAAAAAATTAGAACCTGTAAAAACAGAAAGCAACGAGGAAAAAATATAACGAAGGTAAGCAAAAACTGACTTTTGAAGAAACTAATTAAAAAAAAGAAGAAGTCTTGAACAAGACTAAACAAGAACAGAAAAGGAACAATGTATTTAGTCCATGACAAAAACCCCAGTCTCTCACCTGCCTGAACGGTAATCCATCAGATTGGATTTTCCTGTAAGGCAATCTCTGCGTCTCCACAGGGGGCGCTCATGCTCTCAAAATCACCACATCCGTGGTACCTTCCAGCCTTCCCTCCATGAACAAATCTGAACAATCCATCTGGATTGTGTTTACTTTAAATCATTTGTCTCTAATTACCTAGTGAGAGGGAATCTTTCACCATGATCTTACTTCTGATGGACTGAATTTGTGGTAAAACTGTTGAGAACATATAATGAGCAACCAATCCATCTTCATTCAAAGCAAACATGGTTGTAACCAAACAAAAACTGACAGGGAATGAGCAGCATTTTGAAGCATGTGGATTTTTTTAAAGAACAGTCAGCTGTTAAGTGATTTTAACATAGCTTTGAAAATCAAAGTACTCACAAAATTTTTTTTAAACTTTGTTACCTCTGGGTCAATTATGAGCAAAGGCTTTGATCAATATTTAAGTCTTATGTAGTTTCTGTGTGAAGTCAATCACTGTTGCAGCCTGTCATTTTAAAGATCAGGGTAAACTGGACCATAAAATATCAAAAGTTTTGATGTGTGAGGCTCTTAGTTGGAGAGTCTTTGTGTCTAAGAATGTCCATATTATTCCTACCATAACTCTGCCAAAACATTTAATCCTATACACAGGGATAAAACACTTTTCAAGCCTTCCATGTAAATGCCTAACCAATTAAAAATAGTAAAACCCTGAGGTTTAAATAACAGTATCTAAAGATGAAGAAGGAAGGAGGGAGGGAGGAAAGCTGGGAAGGAAGGAAGGGAGGGAGGGAGGGAGGGAGGGAGGGAAAAAGAGAGGGAGGGAGGATTTAGTATCTTTTCCAGAAATACAGTCAACGGCAAGAGAACACTCCTGAAATAATAGAAGTTGAATATTCCTGATCTGAAAATCTGAAATGTAAAACGCTACCAAACCCAAAACTTTTTGAACACTAATATGATGACACAAGTGGTCAATTCCACACCTGACTTCATGAGATTGACTGCAGCTACAACACAGGTACACCAAAAATATTGTATAAAATTACCTTCAGGCTATGTGTATAAGGTGTATAAGAAACATACTTCATTACATATAAGCAAGCATTCTAAAATCTGGAAAAAAAAATCTTATACCCAAAACACTTCTGGTCTCAAGTGTATGGAGAAAGGATACTCAGTCTGTAACAAGGTCCTTGGACCTGTCACTCCCACTATGAGCTTTTCTCTACAGACCCCTACAGGATGCAAGGCCTACATAAAACTGTTCCACATGTAGCAGGCACAGCCACTTGCCATCACTTCTGGTTTGATAAATTTTCAAATCTAAGATAATAAAAAGAGACCCAATATTTTCTTAAAACTTGTCTAAAGGACTTACTTTGAACTCATAAGTCACTGGACATAAACATTTTCTAGTTTACCCGCTAAAGTGCTTTGCACATTAGAAAAAAATATGAAAGCAAAAACAGTTCTATAGCCTATGTTACTTCCTTATCTTACTATCAAAAAATACATTATTTTTATAGGCCTATACTTTGCCCTTTCTTTAAACTTGGCCTCTCATGTTTAAACACCATCTATGTAAAGAACAGACAAGGAGGTGGGGCTCCCAACAGGGCAAAAGAAAAAGGGAAAGCCAGGAACATGGCAAAAGTCTTTCCAGGTAGTCTAAAGATAATTCATTCTACATGGAACAATTCATTTCCCTTCCAAAGTCCCTCACTCCATCTCTGGGTTTCATGTATAGTATATCTCACACCTTCTTCTTCTTTCCTCTCTGTTTTCCATTGCAATGGGACCACACAATGCAAACTATCTGCAACCAAGAGTCCCCCTAAACAGGACCACCTTATGGGGTCACAGAAGGGAGTAAGCCTGTCTTCCATTCATTGTTGCAACTCATACGTTTGTTGGTTCTGTTCCTAACCCTGTAAGAACAAGTGATTAGGAGACAAAAGAATCACCAGATATAAATCATATTGCTCTCCTATGCTTATTTTTACATGTAGAACATCACCTACCTGGTCTCTGAGGATGAAAAAACATTGCACAACACAGATTATGCATATAACTCACCTCCAAATAAGTGCTTTTTGTAAATTGATATTCTATTAATATTACTAATAGTTTAATATTGCCTAATATTATCTCTGTCCCAACTTAAATTTAACAGAACTCATTCTGCACTTCAGACTAAGGATTCAGTACAATCCACCTAGATACCCAGAGTAAGTGCCAGTCTGAGGACTTGCCTCGATGACCCAGCAGGGAAAGAACATCTTGCCTAACACCAATGACGATGAACAAACTTCTGGAGATCTCAGTAAATGGTAGCACTTCTAAGCCTCGTGGATTTTAAATCTTAAACTCATCAAAAACAAAAGGGAGGACTCTGGAGACCTTGGACAAGTGCTATTTTTCTCATGTTACTTGGTCTTTATTCTTATCCTCACAATAGCCCTGTGAGGTAGGCAGATGAGACATTTTCATCCACTTGATCAAGTTTACTCTACCATTTAGGTGTCAGGAAAGTAGGTTGTAATTACTCTATGAAAATGACAACCACAAAAAAAAGCATTTGAGGAAGTGAAACTATGAATTCATGTTAAGTTTATAAGCTTTTTCAATAAAACAAAATGGCTCTCTTCACCAAAGAAAAAGAAACAGTACAGAACAAGAAATATTAGCTTTCAGCAAAACAAAATAGCCTTTTAATGTGCCTAAGCACATTAATAATCTGTGTGCCTCCCATCAGGCCAATGCAATTGTGAAAACATACCTGAAACATTTGCCTGACTTTTCTTCGGGGCAGACTGACATTTAGTTTATGCATCAATTGATGTATCTCTTCAATATTCAATAAGCCATCGCCATTCTTATCAGCCTCCTCAAAGGTCTGCTTCACCCACGTGCAGAAAGGTCAAAGAAAACACTTGTGTTTTCATCAAAATAAAAACTGCTCTGTCACAGAATACTCACAAGGACATTTATGGATAATGTGGACCTTGAGAAGAAATTGTTTTGGAGAGACCCTACAATTCACGGGCTCTAAGGAATTCCTAACAGTGACAATATAACAGGAAAGGCAAGGAAGGCGAACCTCCACTGTGAAATGGGAGTCAAACCAGTCTATTGTGAGAGCTTCTTTAATTCAAACATCCTTACCTAGCATATCCAAATTTAAGCTAAACCTATTGCCGCCAAAACAGTGCATTTCATCAATTGTAAGGATGAAAACCTGCATTTATATATATATATAGTCCTAACTCTACTCCAGAAGATAATACCTTAATCCACATCTCCATTCGTAAACACCATAAATTCAAGATATTTCTATATGAAGTATTTTCCTGACCACAAATCTTATATCCCCACGCATAAGGTTAGAGGGCCTCATTTATGAGGTATAGAGGTAGCACGAGGCAGGAGTGGCCGAGTGTGAAAGCTGTTAAGCACTCTGTTCAAGGATTTCTTTATGATGAAACCTCAAATATATTTGGGCCTTACCTTCTCCTATGCCCTTTCACCTAGACTCTCTTTACATTCACAATACTCCTGGTATGGGATTTGAATTCTTTTCTCAGCCACACGTCTATATTTAAGAAATTAGACCATCCATTTCAATCCCATCTTTATTCAGATGAGTATGTAAAACTAAAGGAAAAGGAGAAATGTGGTCAGAATTGGTAAGAGAACAAGGTCTCATACCCAGGTCTGTTATGACCGGACATAGCACCTCATCTCTCCCTTGTAAGCCCTACCTCTATTCTGCATTCCTCTTCGCACTGCTAGCTTTGGCAGTTCTCATAAAATTGGCCCAAACTTCTGATCACAGTCAGTAATATGAAGAAGAGGACTGATGGGACTAGTAGATGTTCTCAAAGTTCAGAGTTTAGAAATACAGGATTTCTATCATGTGATATTACATATTCATAACATACATGTGATTTCCATATGCCATGTTTTATAAGACCCTCAGAGGGATGAGCAAACTGAATGGATGAAATGAAAATTCCCACTTAACTTTTAGCAGAGGATTTTTTAAAAAGGGGATGATTATAGTCGTTGAAGGGTAGGTTAGACAGGCCAGAATGGTGTGTGTGCTTGAAGTACCAAATTGAGCTTCAAAGAATGAAGGGTAATAAAAAGGGAAAGAATGAGGGGGATGGAAACAAACCGGAAAAGCAAAGTAGGAAAAAACATAGGTTAAAAGCCAAGAAATGGGAGGACAGGAGGGCATAAGAGAAGGCCAGTAGACAATACTCGTTCTCAAGCTGTGACATCACTGAAAGGTTTCCATCTTAACCCAAATATCAACTTATCTCCCAGGGGTAGCAAAGCACATTTACATTTCCCACGTGTCAAGTTAGGATTACAAAAGACTGTGCCTTAGAAAGGAAAAACACATGCGGAAACAACACAGTGAATCCCATTAATTTTTATCATTTATATGTGTTAACATTTGTAATTTTAAAAAGAAAGCAAAAACAACCAGAACGGTAATGGAAAGGTAAAGTCTGATTCCTTCTAGAGTTAAATAGAGGTGATTTCCAGATGGTAAATACCTTGATTCACACTTTGTGCCCTTCATGATATTTTTTTCTTTGTCCCTTTAAATACTTTTTTTTTTGCTTTTTTAATGAAAAACATCCTTAGCTTTGTATTCTTTAAAAAATTCAAATCCAGTACTTTAAGAAATTCATGAATAAAGCAGATAACATTTTAAAATAAATATAAGAGCATAGCTCTTAAGCTAGAGGTGTGGCTCAAACAGTAGAGCAGCTGCCAGCAAACGCAAGGCCCTGCATTCAGACCCCAGTAAAAGTGCTGAGATCTTTCAAGTTCAGCTTTTCCTTGTAGAGTTCAGTTAGGACCTCATTATATATGTTACCTGGAAGTTAAAGGGAGACTCAGACCTAGAGGAAAAGTAACCAAAGAATCAAAAGGGTGAACCAATGAGGTGGGCCAATTACTAATAAGTATCCAAATCCTTTTTCTCTATTTTTTGTGCACAAAGCACCTGCTCAGTTAACTCCGTTTCTTCTGACTGTTGACACTGCTCTGTTCCCCACAATATGTTTAGCTGACAAAGTCTTTCAAAGACTTTTTTAGAGAAAAGGAAGAGGCAATGAAGCCCTCAATGAGTGCATTCTAGAGATACAACCTGTCAGGATGGGCCTGTGCTGGCAACCTTCATCATCTGTGCATAAACTGGCACAGATGGAACTGGTGAGGCAAAATGGAGATGGAGTCAGACCAAGAGATGCACATTAGTCCTAATTCTACCACTACCCTGGCCCTGTGACAGTGGTCACTCAGCACCCCCTCAGAACCTCTGTTTCTTGATCTACAAGGTCCAGGAGCATAATTACATAACTGTGAGGTCCTTCGAATTCTAAGACTCGATCAAAGAAAAAAATTCTTTCCAGGAATGGTACACATAATATACAACTGCAGGTGAAAGGGTCTGTATCTTCAAGCTATTCTTAATCAAGATACGAGTGCCTAGAAAAGCTCTGAATTACAGATTGATAGCTAAACACACAACAGCTTTAGGAAGAGAAGCTGTCATTCTGCAGAAAAAATCCAGAATAAAACTGAATGGAAATTAATGGTTCCATTAATGGAGACAAGTGGGAGAATAGACAGAACTGAATGGTGTGCAACGGTGGACAAACTTCCTGTACAAAGCCTAATGGTAGATATTTTAGATCTGCAGTCTGTTTGATCCCAATTGCAACTACTCCACTCTGCCACTGTCACAGAAATACATGAATGTGCACAGCTGTATTCTAATAAAACTTTATGGACAGTGGAGTTTGAATTTTAAATAATTTTCACGTCATAAAATATTCTTCTTTTGTTTTGTTTTTGTTTTTTTTTCTTTTAGTCATTTAATACCCATTCTTAGCTCAGGAACCCAGACAAAAATAGGTGGTGTGCCAGATTTGCCTACCCTATAGTTTGAGAGAATGGAATAAAGCTTTACTATATGACATGCATAAGGGGCTGCCTCAGGTCTTCTGGGTGTCATGAGACAAAGTGGGGAAAACATGGAGCAGAATGGTAAGAAACACCCTGAGGTTGGGTGCCAGCACCATCATTTGAGCAGTGAGGCTGCTGAGATTTCAGACTTTAAGCTGTCTGGATAGGAAAGAAGCTTGTCACCTCTTACCTATCCAGCAGCAATCCTCTGTGCTGGGCACTGACTTAAGGACTTTGCTTATGTCGATTCATTTAATGCCCAAACACCTCCACAGGTTTGGCACTATTAACTTTCATCATTACCATGTTACACACAGACTTTCAGGCAAAAGAGTTCAATTCCCCCAAATTTACACAGCACTTGCCGGAGTTAGGGCTGGACCCCAGGCAGCACAGCACCAGGTCTGAGTCCTTAGCCATGGTACCATGTAAGAAACACATCTAGGTCCCTCAATGCAGCCAGGCTATGGAAACAACTGGATCCACAGTTTAGATTGCATGGATTTTCTCCTTCAGCCATTTAAAATTCAATATGCTCATTGTTCATTCACAGTTAGTTGAGTTCCAAGTGAAATATGAATCTGAAATCTGTTCTCTTCAATTAATGTAAATAGATGTATGTGTGACCAACGATGTCATTCTGTTAAGATATTACCTAAAACCTTATCAAATTCTGACAAATTTGTATAAAAATGGTTCCATCTCAACATAACTTACCATTTTTTACTTCAGCTTTTTCCTTATTATTCATTAATTTCTTCTCTTCTTAATTTTTTTTCTTCACTGGCACAAACATCTTCTACCTCTAAATTTCTTTCTTTCCCTTCCCTTCCTTCTCTCTCTCTCTCTCTCTCTCCCTCCCTCCCTCTCTTCCCTCTCCCTCTCTCCCTCCCTCCCTCCTTCCTTCCTTCCTGAGTTAGGAGAAAGTTTTATCATGGGTAAAAGTACACATTCAAGGGGTGAGTGTGGGTTCTCAAGAGAGAGACACCACTTCTACATTTCTTATAAATTGTTCCTCTGCAGGTCTAGGCTATACTTGCTATCAGATTGTGTATTTTCCGAATATGAAATCTCTCAGCTTACAACCTGGTAAGTTTATTTTCAAGTACCAATAAACACAGATAAGCAAATTAGGTTTAGCCCTGGTGCCAGTGGCTCACACCTGTAATCCAAGCTACTTGGGAGGCTGAGGTACTGACGGTTACAGTTTGAGGTCAGCCCAGGCAAATGGTTCATGAGACCCTATCTTCAAAATAACCAGAACAAATGGGTTGGAGATATGGCTTAAGCAACAGAGTACCTGCTTTGCAAGCACAAAGCCCTGAGTTCAAATCCCATCCTGCTAGCAAAAAAAATTTAGGTTTAAAAAAAAAGTTGACCAACAAAGCAAAAAGAGGCTTCTGCCATTTATACTCATCTCTCATTAGTTCATGTCAAGTGTTCTGACACAGACTTGTGTGAGAGACTACAGGCTGTGGAATACTGTGAATGTGTCTTAGGTAAGTGGGTGAGGACAGCAGCTTGTGGACCTAATTATCTACACAAAGTCATTCCCTTCCCTTCTTCAAACAAAAAGAACCTCAGTTTTATTCAGGTATACGAGAGTCACGTGTTTTAATGGTATGGGGAGCTGAAGGGGAGAGGGGTGCATCTTGGCCTTAATCCAGCCATCTTTGAGGTATAGTCCTGGGGGTCCCTTGAACCAAGAGGTCTCCTAATTTCAGCATCTTATCTGTGTGATACTGGATTTTCTCCAAATATTTTAAGTAAACCAACACATCATAATAGGTTGGATGCAGAAGCAAATGAATGAACATATGTGTGCTATTAAGTCCAATATTAGAGACTTGCAAAACAGTGAAGCAATGGGACTCTTCCAATTTGTTTTGCTTTGAAAAATGTAGTTATTTTTCATAAAATGCTGTGTTAACATGTAGTTCATTATGACTTTAAAAACTGTCAGATTTGGTCTTAATAGGACAAATACCCACAGACAGAACCCACATAAACAAAGGGTCTTTGGCCTCTTCACGTTTCAAGAATACAAAAAAGGCTCCTGGTAACAATGTTCAATTGTGACAATGAAGATCTCTTGCCAGTGATTGGCTCAGAAATGGGCCTGCAATAGTAATTGTGACCAAAGATGAAGAGGTCATTTTGGGGGGTTTCTGGGAAGTTTTTCTTTGTTCTTCAGAAAGATCATGAGAAGAAACTTCACTGCCTCTGAGTAGGACTGTGTTTGGAGCTGCTGCCTGAAAAGCCTGCAGCTCACTTTGACCATCCACATGCTGAGGTTGGCAGACCTCATCACTGAGCCACTGAACTGACCCACCCTGGAACTGCCCCATCTTAAGTTCCGGCTTTTGAGAATACATAAGCTCCTTACCATCCAAAGCACTGTTAGGATGGCCTCTGCTGCTTGCATCAGAAAGCATTCCCACTGATGCAGTGGTTTTGCTCATTTGTTTTTCATCAAATGCTGAAAACTTAAAAATCAGACCAACAGCCTGAGGCACAGAAAGTTAGTTCCCATGGTTGGATTTTGTTCATTCGTGATTCCTGCTTGCACTTATCTGCTCGCTGTGACTATGGATGAAAACGTCATGGCCCATCAGCTCAGGCCACCACGCTGTCCAGATCCCTTCATGGGCTAATATTTCCTTCTGCTGCAATAATACCTTGGGTGAGGGATTACAGCTGGATCAGCACAAATTTCTCACTACTCTACAAAAATGAGGACATGCAGGCCAATGCCATCAAGGAGATGGCATTTCTCCCCACACGGACAGAAGCACACATCTTTGGGCCATTTGAAATGTGAAGACGAGAACCCCGCCAGTGGGCTAGTCAGATACCCTCACTTTACAGATAGGGAAATTGAGGTCAAAAAGGCCATGCCACACGTGCAGCTCCATCCCAGCAGGGAACAGTGCCTTCAGACTATCTGTACCATCATTTCTCTCATCAGTACTGAAGGGCCACCAGAATGCTTTCATCAGAAATTAAAAATAGATTCTCCTTTCTCAAGCAATTTGGAGAGGGCAAATGTTAGTAAATAGAAAACAACTTCCTCTAGAGTATCAATCAATTTAGTTTCCACACCGCAAGTTCAAAACAGAAAAAAGCAGAAAGGAGCTCAATGGCTGTGACATAATTGGAACTCAAAAGGTACTTGTTAAAGTAAACTGACTTTATGACAATCAGAATTTTCTCTAATCTAAATCAATGCTTTTCTCGGTTATAGTTAACAAATACTCCTACAATAACACTCAATAATACTTAATAAGAGATCTCTTAGATTAATACTTAATAAGAGATCTCTTAGATTGTTAGCTAAATTCAAATTCTTCACAAGAATTTTACTCCTGAGTTCATACAACCTTTATGTCTCTATAGTTTTACGTATTCATCTACTGGGGGTGAGAGTCAGGAAGGGAGTAGAGGATGTAAGGGTTAAAAGAAAGAAACAGAAAGGAGATGCTCTTAAACTCATAATTACGGGAAGAAAAAATGCATATCTATCCTCCCTTTGCACACACACAGCACATGACTCAGAAATGAAACTATGAGGAGGATATTGGTCATGGGTCCTCTGCCTCTTGGCGAGGGAGTCCTCATCACTGATGCCGGCCATCAGGTACTTGAGGCCGGTAATCCAGGTGCGTGCTTCCTCAGGATTGGAGGTGATGAGGTCCAGGGACTCCATGTGGTTGCCATGGTAGATGGTGAAGCAGCAGCTAGGATCGAAGTTCCCCTCAGCTTGTCTGTGGAATATTTCAGACTGCCGGCCCTCGGTGACTTTATAAATGGAGTCAATAAGAACTGTGAAGGAAGTGAGATGCATGGTTATATGGAAACGATATTTACTTACAGTGATTAAGAAACAAGGAGAGCAAAATTCACTCTCTGATAGTTTTGGGTTAAGTCCATATGTGAAACACTGGACCTACTGTTTCCTGCAAGGAGACTTCTCCACATAACTCTTTACTTTTCTGAGAATTCTTAATAATGTCCTTCTCCCAAGGCAATGATTTAGGACTTTTGAAACTTATAGTCAAAAGATAGATATGCCCATCAGGGCAAGAAACTGGTAGAAAAGGTAACTAATACATATGTCAAATTCTCAGTTATATACCGATGGAGGGAAAACATGCAAAGACCTAGAGGTGACTGGTATTTTGCAAAATGCATGAGAAGATAGTTAGAAAATTGAAAGGAAAAGAAATTTACTGGTAACCAATTAGCACAGCTAAATGTGACTGGCATTCCTAAAGAAAGTGCAGCAGGCCTTGGAGAAGCACAGAGGACAAGGTGACATCCCATAGGAAGGACAGGAAGATCCAGAAGTATCAGGCCCACTCCGGGGATGCTGAAGAGGTTGTTTATGCTGCACCGGGAAACTCAGGAGAGAGAATAACGGGAGATAAACTGAAAAGGTGGATGAAGGTTAGATCTTGGAGAGGCAGGCTGGGATACTAGGATATTTAGGAGGTGAAGCAAGATAAAAACACTAAAGACTTGGAACAGAGAAGCACTGGTCTTTTCGTTTGCTTGTTTATTTTGTTGCTGATATTGTTTTCCTGCTTGTTTTTAAGCAAGAACGAGTAGTATTGACCATCCTACCAGTTTCCCAGGTACACATTTTACTCTTCATTCTGCCTTAGAGGCAGGGTCCTGGTTTTATTGTTATCAACTAATTCCCCATATAACTAATAGGAAAATAAGACTTCACTCAGCTCCAGGAAAAGTCCTTGCAGTCTGAAACCATTAGGGTGGTCCCACCCCACTATTTCTTAGGATTGATTTAGGTGTGGACATGCAACCCAGTTCTAACCACACAGATAAGGGCAGTCTGCGTTGAAGGAAGGATATAGAAAGGGGTTCTTTTCTTTTGGAAGAGAAGGTTCTTTCTGCCCAAAACTGCCCAGGCCATGTTGCTATTTTCTTGACTACAATGTCTGTGCTCAAGGGACAGAGCCCTGGGCACTTCAGGGAACAGAATGAGAAACAAAATGCCCCATGCACAGGTGCTGCTGATATCTGAGCTTCTTGATAGATGAGTTAATACATTTGCTTATGATGCAAGCTTACTTTAGAGGAGGGCTTATCTGTTACAGATAAAGACAGGAAAGAAAATGGAAACTGATTAGGAGACTTTGCAATAGGTCATCAGAAAGGTGAAGAGACTTGGGACCAAAGAGGTTACCATGCGGCCAGGAAGGGACTGATGAGAGCTGCTGCAGAGGGCTCAGCATAGCAGGAGTACATGACAGTTTATTTAAGTGTCAGCGTGCCTGGCTGAAGGCATACTCAGAGAGCTTCTACAGCATTATTTCTAGGTTATGTCTGGGAGGGTTCTTCTGTAAGAAATTAATATTTGAATAAGTAGACTGAAGAAAGAAAAGCCTCCCTCAACAAATGTGAGTAGGACCATCCAATCAGATGAGAGCCCAGACAGAACTCTCTCTTCTGGAGTTAGAACACCCCTCTTCTCCTGCCCTTGCACATCAGAAGTTCAGCTCCTCTGGCCTGTGGATGCTGACACCCACATAGTCAGCTTCCAGGCTCTCAGGCCTGCAGGTTCACACTGCGTCACGCTACTAGCTTCCCTGCTCTCCAGCTTGCAAAGGGCATAATAGGGCCCTTTTCAGCCTCCATAAGCAAAGGAGCCAATAACTAGTAAATCTCTTCCCAGCTATAGCTACCTATCCATCTGTCCATCTATCTTAGTGGTTTTGTTTAACTAGGGGAATCCAGATAATATGATGTAGAAGAGAGGCTTTAACTAGGAGTCAGATCAAAATGATGCCATTAAAACAGTGTTGCTCTGAGGCCAATAGGAAAAGGGGACCAGGAACTAGGGAAAAGGTTAGATCAAAAAGAATTAACCTAGAAGGTAACACACACACACAGGAAATCAATGTGAGTCAATGCCCTGTATAGCTATCCTTATCTCAACCAGCAAAACCCCTTGTTCCTTCCTATTATTGCTTATACTCTCTCTACAACAAAATTAGAGATAAGGGCAAAATAGTTTCTGCTGGGTATTGAGGGGGGGGGAGCGGGAGGGGGTGGAGTGGGTGGTAAGGGAGGGGGTGGGGGCAGGGGGGAGAAATGAACCAAGCCTTGTATGCACATATGAATAATAAAGAAAAAAAAAAGTGTTGCTAATTCATTAATCAGGTGACTGCACTCAGAATATAGCAATACTTTTTAAAGCCCACTGGAGTTATGATGTCCCTTACCTTTTATGCGAAAATAAAAGGTCTCAAGCTATAAAAACTAATATCCCAATTTTTAAAAAGTACATCATTTTCCAACTATTTCCAGGAGAAATATTAGCCTTTACCGCATTCATAGATGAGACAATTTTTATGCATTTAAATTCCCCAAAGATGGTGATTATCTCAATACCATAATCAGCTGACCCCAAACTTGCAAAAATATGAAAGTTCCACAGATCTGGAGCTTCCCCAGAGCCTACCCAGTGTTAACCATGTGTTATTGTGTCAATCCAAGCAAAGAATTCAAAGACTGGTTTTACTTTTTGCCTTCTCACTCTTCCTAGAAGGTCGCCATCGGAGGCGGGTCCGGTGCTCATCCAGGTAAAAGAGCCGGACGAGGCCTTTGGTCCCACGCTTCAGTTTGATCATCTGTGTCCCGGACTGCATTACACTCATGCATCTCTCAACTGCAAAAGAGATCAAAGAACATTCAGCTCTAGCACAATGCAATGTGCACACTGGTAGCCAGGTCTTACAGGCAAATAAAACTTCTGATGCACCCTCAAAGACCACAGGGACCAAAGGACAAATTTGGCCAGAGTTAGCCTGAAATAGAGAACTGTAAAGGAATTAATTCAATTAATGTTGTGCCAGTAAAAGGCACAGTAAAAGGCCTTACTGACAAAAATAAAAAATCACTTTCCAGATAAATAATACATTAGTGTTGTACAGAGCGAGCTTTTATTCTGGGTTTTTTTTTTTTTGAATGACACTAACAAGCACTTGATACTTGGATTTATGTTTCTAAAGCAAGTTTTCAGATATGCCAAATCTTGTGTTTTTATACAACCAATTGTAAAAGCATCTTATAATAATAATGCGCTAAGGTTTTTGTTTTGTTTTTGTTTGTTCGTTTGTTTGTTGGGATGCTTGAAATTGAACCCAAGGCCTTGTGCATGCTAAGCAAGTGCTCTACCTTAATAATAATACTTTAAAATGTAACCAACAAGTTGGCAAAATACCAATGATTGTGAAAGTTGGATGATAGTTACATGTAAATTCATGTTACTACATTTTTGTTTGAAAACAGTTGAATAAATTTTTTATATAACCAGGAAATACAACATTTTCACAATTGAAATATTTGTTAATGCATTTAAACTGCTAAGATTTTTTTCATCTGGTGAAATAACTTAGCAACTGAATTCAGGTAATATCCAAATCGCACAGTGTCTAAGTGAAAGCTGTCATTTAAAACCAATCTGCCTTGAGATGAATCTCGCAGGAAGTAAGCCTCTGCTGGTTTTGCCGGTTTCACCTTGTTTTAGAGATACTCTTCATCAGTTTCACGAGCCTTTGGTGACCTATTAATCACCCAATTAAGGAATAGGCACCTGACTTAAGCTTAGAGCCAACTAACACCCTTCCAAGGGCCACCAACCCTGAGCAAGTCATTGACTGAAATAGAACTGAGCCATTTCAACAACTGGATCCTAACAGATGCTCCTGATTGGCCACCCTAAGGGGTCATAGTTGTCACATTTCTTATTCTTCCTAAGAATGATAGTAAATTACATTTTCCTGTGGATTCTGCAAGCTTTGCAATACTCTTCCAAATACTTTTGCTTCATTATGTCAACAAGAAATAGATTATTTGAAATATCTATTTCTGAGTACCAACCTTAGAAAGTGATGCTGTTAGGAGCAACAGATAAAAGAAACACAGTATTAGACTTCAGCTTTTTTGGATAAGTATTTTGTCTTTACAAGGAATCCGATCCAACAGCTTAACACTGCATGGATGGGGTACCCATTAAAGATAACTTCCACATACCCACCAGCACTACTTACTCTATGAAGAGTCTTTCCTTACTATAATTAAATCAAGGAGGAACTGCATAAAATTAAGTACAGTTATAGGACTTGATAGTGTAAGGAAGGTGAAGCATAGGTTGCCTTACTCATTTAATCTAAGTCATCAAATACTCAAGTAAGATTGCTTAAGAAAACTGTGACTGATGGTGTAGTTCAATGGTAGAGCACTTGCCAAAAATCATGAGGTCATGGACTGGATCCCCAGCACGACTAAGGGTGGGGGGTGGGGGGAGGAGGGAAGGGAAGGGAAAGGTAGTGATGAGAAGGGAGTATCAGAGTAAAAGACAAAACCATCAAATCAAACCAACCAAGCTGAAACTCCCAGGAAAACTTCTGAGAGCATCACTGACTACTGACAACAGGCCACATCCATAAACAAGATGTCACAGAGCAACAACTTTTCTTAAGCACAGGACTGTCATGAAATGAAGAAAAAACAGGGGGTTTTTTTTTTTAGTTTTAAGAGTTTAAATTTAAAAAGAATGAGGCATCTAAAAAGATGCTATTTAATGACCCTTAGAACTTGGTAGAGAGCACAGTCAGCATCTCCCTTGGATAGAATTCCAACTGTGCCACCTACAAACTGCATAAAACTCGGGCAAGTCACTTAACCTCTGTGCCTCCAGTTCCTTATCTGTAAAATGGAGGTAATAATGTATTTTTCCTCTTGGATTTTGGTGAGGACTGAATGAGTTAATTCATTAGAAGTACTGAAAACACTCCCGGACACACCATCAGCACTATAAATCATAGCTATTTGTGGTGTACTGAATGATTATTACCCCAAAGCACTATTCAAGTTCTAACCCTCAGTGTGATAGTGTTGGAAGAGAGACCTTTCGAAGGTCATTAGCTTTAGCAAGGTAAGGAGAGTGGGGCTTCCAAACAGGATTAGTGTCCTTACAAGAAAGCTCTCTCTCTTCCGCCCCATCCCTCTTTCCTCCCTTTCTTTTCCCTGTCCCCTCCCTTTCTGCTTGCCATATGAGGCGAAAGTAGTCTATTGGCAATCCAGAAGAAGAACCATTACTGGTAAATTAATTGATCTGTTCCTGATCGTGTATTTTTCAACCTCTAGCACTGTAAGAAATAAATGTCTGTGGTTTACACCACTCGGTCTATGGTATTGAGTTATGGCAGTATGAACTAAGACATAATTATTATAGTTTTATTATTATGAAAATCTTTAAAAATAAATGTCAACCTGGAAGTAAAGACAGAAATACTATACAAGACCAAAGAAAAAGAGATTGGAATGGGGACAAACACCAATGCAGACTTGGAAAAGAAACAAGAAAGAGTATGGTTAGAGAAAAGGGAAAAGATGAGCCTCCACATTTGAAAGAGTGACTCACAGGGGAATTGGCAGGACATATGACTCCAAGTGCAGGCTAAGACTAGGTTGTGCAGGATGCTGGTATAGTAAGATGTGATCCACTGGCAATGAGCAATTTACTAGATATTTCTGAGCAAAGGACTGGCCCAATAAAAACATAATTCTGAAATCTGTGTCTCTGGGAAGAGAAAATAAAAAACTGTTAAAACAGAGTGGGAAACTGAATTATCATAACATCAGTAGTGACTACCTATGTATCTGATATAGTGCCCTCTACTTTTCTTGCACCACCTGCTAGGGTTTGGATCCTACATGTTAAAGGCTTGATCGCTAACCTATGGAACTACTGGGAAGTAGTGGAACCTTTAAGAAGTGACCTAGGTCACTGCGGGTGTTCCTGTGACAGGATTAGAATACCCTAGTCTTTTCCTCTTCATTTTCCCCATTTGTGATGTGAGCAGTTTTGCACTTCTCCATGCCACCGCCCGGATGTGCTGCCTCACCACAGGCTACAAAACACTAGGCCAATCAACCATGGAACTGAAATGTCTAAAACTGTGAATCAAAATAAACCTTTCTCTTTTTAAGTTCATTTATCTCAGGTACATATTACAGCAAAAGAAGACTGACTAACACACTGGCCCCATCTTTCCTTCTCACTTTCCCATCTCCTTTTCAGTTCCCTGAAATAGAATTGCTATGGCTATAGCATCTCAAGATTTTAACAAGAAAGGCACAGTGATACTAGGGAAGATTTAGTTACTTCAGCTAACAAATACCACCTACCTCTTAGCAAGCATCACCAAGAAAAACCCAACACTTTAAAGTGGAATTCAATCCCTCAGTGAAAGAATACATTTACACAATATATTAAAAATTCACCAGTTTTGCATTTATCCCACTGACACTGTGGGCTAAGATGTCAGCGTGATGTATTGCAGTGAACACAGACACAACTCAACGTACTTGGTAGTCAAGGTAGAACAAGGTGCCTCTTTAAGTGTTTGTGTAACTGCTTCATCCTGCCTCCCTAATTGCTCTCTTTCATGTAGAAAAGCCAAATCAAAAACCTGAGTTCATCAAAGTGTTGAAAGTCACCCAACCCTCTTCACTCTTCCCCAAAACTCAGAGCAGATAATACTTTGCAGTTGCAAAGTGAACCAAAGAAGAACTACTCTCAACTTTTCTTGGTAACTCATGACCTGAGAAAATAGTCTTCCAGTCTCATCCAAATCACTTTTGTATCAACATGTGCCTCTAGGAGAGATGGGTAACAGCAGTCACCACCTTGCATGAAAGTCATTCTCCAGTCATGCTAGATTGGTAGGTAACATAAAAAAGTGTAAGAAAGGCTTCACTGCAGGTAAACAAGGGAAGAGTCCAGTGGCTTAAAATGCTACAACCTCATCCAATACATTTCCAGTGCTGGAGATTCTCTGTGGAAGACTTCAAAAATGGGCTGCGAATTGAGGCAGCTGAAAATATGCAAACAATCCCTTTGACCCTACATCAAAGATTTTTAATATTTTTAGAAAACGAGTTTGTACAGAGACAATGCAGCAACATCCAAGAATATAGGGAGAGAAATGTCTACCAGTCACTTGCCTATCAGACACCATTTTGCTCTGCTATTCTCCAGACCTCCACATGTACACTAATTTGCTGCACTGATTGAAATCATGATATTTAAGTCATTTGGCACTCTGCTTTTTCATTTGTATTATAAACAGCTTTCCATGTTTCTACACAGTCTTAATAATTATCATTTTAATGGCTGCCTACCAGAGTAGCATAAATATTTAAAGAGCAGAACAGATGAGTGAAGGACTATTTTCCTAACTTTCTTACATAATTAGTTTGAAAACTCTTAATAGTCTCATCTATAAAATGAAAGGCATAGCAACATGATCTACAGGTCCCTTAGAACTCAACTCTCTTAAAAAGATTTAATCAGTTCTTTCTGGCACAGTCAGTTCAAGATAAGTAAAATTTCCAAATTTCCTTAGGAGTTATTAGCCCACTAAATCCCTTAAGCAGAGACTGTTAAAAGCAAATGAACAAAAAATACTTCGGATTCAGAGTAACATATAGGAAGTGTATATCATTAGGGAGAATCCCAAGAATTTCACTAAGTATGTATGACATCTAAGAGGCTTAGATTCTTTAAGCCAAGTTTGAATCAGATGCGATCATATTTTAAGAGTGTCAGATCTACCATCGGAGGCTGATCTTTACAATTTTATTGAGGTATAATTTATA